GGCCAACTCATCACTATCTACAACTTTTACCCGTTGTTCTAACAACGTTAAAACGGCTTATCGACTTCTTGAGAAGAATCATATGATGGTGTAAATAAAACAAATCTATTAACCATATATAGACAGGGAACTTGTCAAAAACAACAGATATTTCGATCGTTTATATAAAACGGACAAACAGCCTAGAAATCCTATTTCAAGTTTCTTATGATAAAATATAATACATACCTTTTCTTTCACGTTTTATAAATCCAGTATGTTTACAATCCAAATAAACTGTTACGTTCATTATACTAAGTTTCGATCTAGAACTCGCATATTTGTCGTTTAAATATAACACGCAAAGCTAGATACATAGTCTTAACTTCTTGAACGTCTAATCATTTAAGAGCATAAAGAAATATCGATATCATCCCTCTTACAATATTTATCTGACAGCATAATATCCTGAAATATGTATGGATTAAATTAGTTTTCATATAAGTTAGTGTACAATCTTTGTTATACTTCTGTTGTTCTTTAGTAAAGTCAATCTGCTTAGAATAAAATGAAAGTTCTGTTCTACTTAAACGTGTGATAATTATAATATATTTACGGAAAACATTTGTTAAATAAAAGATAATCATAACACATTGTCGCTATCTACGTGTTTACAATATATTTTATATTTACGGAAAAGTTTATTAAAATAAAAGTCAATTATAATACATTATCTATGTATTTACACGACATACAGCAAATGGTCAGGCAATACGAGTAGGCTTAGAATAAAATGAAAGATTGATTCTACTTAAATATGAGAGATTTCATTATTATTTTAATTATCTCATGTTTCGAAACATTGTTGCTGTATATTAGATGAAGATTTCAAATGATTGACAATGGCCAGTTTTGATTTATCTAACAGCAGTGACAAGTTTATTTTACACCTTTTAAATTAAAAACAGGACAAAGGTTTTGTTTGCATAAACATTTTCACCAGGATTTATTACACTGACAATCAATACTAATTGTCTAAAATATCACTAAATTTCCCCCACCCCCAGTGGCACAGCGGTATATGTCTACGGATTTATACCGCTAGAAACTGGGTCTTGATACCCGTGGAGAGCAGAGCACACATGGCCCATTGTGTAGCTTTGTGCTTAACTACAAACAAACAAACGATTATGCCTGAGAGACAGAATATCCTCAATGATTTTGTATGCTATAACTGTAGAAATTTGTTTTATACTTTTGTATAGATGGCATAATTTTACATTGCGTCAGCATAACTATAACAAAACAATCATGCATTTGTTGGCGCATATATCTATATAAACATAATAGTACTACTATAAAGGCTTGGTTTGGTTTGAAGTTTTCATTGGTGGTAGTGTCCAGGGTCACTGATGAGGAGTGGAATTAT